AAAGGGGGGGGGGGGGGGGAATTAAAGGGCAGACGTGTAGGTATTCGAGGCAGACGATGATGCATAGGAAGACGAGCGCATTTCGGTAGGACGGCAGGCATTGGTATCGGTGGAGTTTGCAGAGGGAGACTGCGCGCTGTCATGATGCGGGGGCGTGTAATGGGGGCGTCTTGCTTAGAAGTGAATGAGACCTTTGTGTGTGGTTCAAGCTGTTTCAGTGACCGTTGTCGTCTTGTGCGGCGACTTGTGGCTCGAGAAACTTGTGGATATATGCTCAGTCGCCCGTCAAAATACGCCGGAAGACATCCAAAGAGTACCTCAGTTTCTCACTGATTTTGCATCGTCAACGCACGTTCGACTTGCGCCTGCATCTGCGGAGGCCACAGACGTGTAGAGCAATCACGTACGGTCATCTTTGCACTGATTGATTTATCGTATTGCGTTCGCAGGATATCGGTCAGATAGGTAATTGGCATTCGTTGCCATATAAGGTGAAGATGAAGCCCACACAACCACACAACCGTGCGCTGCAGATCTGGATGCGTGTGTGTGTGTGTGGTGTCTTTCAGCGTTATGGAGGATGATCAGCTGTCACTGCCCAGTGCTGAAGCTGGTCGGCGAGGTGACGAACGCCTTTGAGAACATGGCAACGCTCACCATGTCCTGCTTGCCAGGCTCCGCCAGACTTAGACATACAAAACACAAGCAGACAAGACGGCAACTCGAGCCACTCACTGCAGACACAAGCCTGCATCATGTGCACGTAGCGAAACAGAGACACTTTAAGCTTTCGTCTGCATCCATCAGACAAACACTCATGTGTGACTCAATACGTAACACTCAATACGACACAGTGAAAATCAAGGGGGGGGAGGAAGACACAATGCCGATTCGCGCTGCTGCCGTTCACTCACCGCGAGCTCCGCCAAAGCTCGCCACCATCCTCTTCGATCCACTCAGCACCCCCAGGAACCATTCGTCGTCTTTCTTGCGTACAATGACGGCCAGCTCCCGATCACCGATGGCTCCAGAACTCGCGTCTCGTCCCTGAATCAAGAATGCGGAGTGACTCAAACAGAGATTGTGTCTTTCACTCACCACGTTGACGGGATTTTTTTGATAACATCAACAAAAGGCGACTCCATGATGACCTGGGGATCCTCAGAAATGGTCTGAAGGTAGGAGTCGAAGCAGATAGAGTCGCCGTGAGAGTCGCTATCCGTTGGGCCTGGGGGGACATTAATACAGCGCAATGGATGAGTGGTGCAGCATGCCTTCAAGTTGACACCCTCACAGGTGCGCATGTTTACAGTGGTGGTCGGTCCTTTGTATTTTTCATCGAGAGAGTATTTCTCCGTCACGAGGCTTTTTCGAGGTTGAAGAAGGCCAAGGACACCTCCGTCTCATCAGTTCGGTCCGGATGATGTGCAACTTGCAGTGAAGCACAATGTGGAGCACACCGGTTGCCCCATCGACCGCCGTTGCCGTGGGCAGCGTGACATTGCAGGGGTAGGAGAAGCTTCGGCGGGGGAGGCTGCAGCACTGAGCTGTCCAGAGACGGATGGAAAGCGTCTTCGGTGAGGTAAAACGTAAGGAGGTGAGACCAGACAAAAGACGGGCACTCGGGGTCACATTGCACATGCATGGTGAAGCTCAGGCATGCTCTGGCCACTCCGAGAACGTCTTCAAGGCTAGTCTTCAAGCTAGTCTATGTGTTGCGTGCGAGACGGCGGATGGGGGCCAGGACCCTCTGCCAACCTGTGCACACACTGCACGAACACCAAGCCGGGCCGCCCGGCTTGCATACTTCCCCTGGGTCGGGGGAGGTGGCGTGTCAGGTATATGTCGGGGAGGTGCGTGTACGTGTCTGTCTCGCGCTTGGTGTTCGTGCAGTGTGTGCACAGGTTGGCAGAGGGTCCTGGCCCCCATCCACCGTCTCGCACGCAACACATAGACTAGCTTGAATACTAGCCTGTCGGCTGGGGTGCCTTAGTTGCGTCGACACAGAGGCGCCGTGATTGGTTGGGCAGTGTGAGTTGGCGGCCATTCCTGAAGACCTGGGGAAGCCGAATGAAAAGGTGCTTGCTCGTGAACGACAATGCTGGCCGAGAAACCAAAAACCGGCTGCACTTGTGTGTGACTGAAGAGAGGGCACGGACAGCGAAGGGAGGTGGCGATGCGGACGACGCAACATCGCCCCCTCCCCCTTGAATGGGGGAGGGGGCTGCCCCTCCCCCTTGAATGGGGGAGGGGGCTGCAAAAGGTCGGCTTCCATGAGCCAAGGGTCACAGGCAGAAGAGAGCGCGTCGACCGTCACGCAGGACTCCGGCACACAGATCTACTCGTCTGCGCGTGTTCGTCTGGCAGGTGTGTTGGTGTTTCGTTTGGCCGCATTGCCGCCTTCTCTCACCGTGCTGATGGCCGCGACGCAGTATTCCAGCTTGTACACATATGCTCCCATCTGTGTGTCCTGTATGCGGGTCTTTTCGCATTCATGTGTGTGCGCCCGCATTCATGTGTGTGCGTCATTGATCCATGCATAGCATCTGAGCACAAAGCTTCTGTCATGCCCATGCGTGATGTGATATTCATTATGTCGCCTTCATACCATGTCCTTCTTGTCCGTCCCTCTTCTTTCCCTCTGCCTCCCTTTTTCTCGCCTTTTCCTGGGGAGAAACTGTCATTAACCGTAACACTCGTCTGTGTGTCCGTGATACTTATACAAATACAGTCCCATCAGCACGCAGAGTCAAACAGGCTCAAGGAAAGGAGGGATCAATCCCCGCCCCATCAGCACACCCCAGTCCCGCAAACCCTCCCCTCCCTCCCCCACGCAGACAGAAGCTAGTCGCACGCGCGAGGGCGATAGACAAGCGAGAACGAATCC